AAAAAAAATTTTTTTTAAATAAAAAAATAAAAAAATAAATAAAGACCTTAGGAGTTCAGAGTGACAGTTCCAAATCCATCTGGGATGACAGGGTCACGGATCAGCTTCCTGGGCAGGCTGTGCCCCAGCCTCCATGACGAGAATCCACACGTAATGATGCGAATGCAAGCACACTGCCACTTTATCCTCAAACACACGCAGCAGGTGCAAAATGACACCAGGGTTATTACCAATAAGACGATCATAGAAAACAACTTGTTTAGGGCTTTTTTTGTAGGTCTCGTCCTTGGTGCAGAGCCCACTGGGGGCATGCGTCAAATGTCCACGGTTTAATTACCTCAAATAACTCTTCCCTGAGGGGTTATCCTTTTTGTTAGTTTACACCCATTTTTTTAAGTTTATTTATTTATTTATTTTGAGAGAAGGTGGGGGCAGAAAGACAGGGAGGGGCACAGAGACAGACAGAGAGAGACAGAGAGAGAGACGTCCCAAGCAGGCTCTGCACTGCCAGCCCAGAGCACACAGGGCTCCATCCCACGAACCGTGAGACCATGACCTGAGCCAAAATCAAGAGTCAGACACTTAACCGACTGAGCCACCCAGGTGCCCCTACATCATTTTTGATACACATTTTGCTTTTCGTTTCCAAGTGACATTTTAAGAAGCTTTTATTCAATTTGTAGTATTACAGAACATTGGATGGTTGCGGTCATGAGGCTTATGCTAAGCAGTCCCACTCTCCTTGCCTCCAGGTGACCACTTACAAACTATCAGAGTGAGTACACCCACACGCACGTCCTGGGGCCCGCTCACAGGGCTCTCTGGTCATGCCGCCCTGACAGCCGGCGTGTGGGCACAGCGCGGTTTGGGGAACGCGCACCTACACGTGGCACGTGGCCACGATGCACAGCTCAGGGCACAAACTGCTCTCCACTGCTGCCAGCAGGTCCCTGGGCGGTCCTCGGAAGTGGGATGCTGGCTCAGTCAATGCCACGGCGCCCTGTCAGCTGGGGGGTTTCCGCGGACCTGGGGGGGAGGGACTGATGGCCAGAGGTGCTCTCGGTTTGCATTTCTGTTCTAAGGAGTCTGAGCTGTGTCTTCACACATCAAAACCCTTTTGCGTTTCTCTTTCCATGAGCTGTCTGTTCCCACGTCTTGCCTGTTTCTCCTCTCAGCCCCGGGCCTCTGCTCTGCCTTCCGTGTGTTATTTATGAGATGTTCACCTTCCCTGTTAGAAGTCGCAGGTCTTGTCCTCTCCACCTGTTTGACTTTCTACTCTGCTTATGTGTATGTTACGGCTCAACTAGTTTGTTTCTCACTTCAGTCTCTGTCCATCTGCTGTTCGTCGGCACAGAGTACGAAGGACGCACGCGTTTTACCCTTCTGTGTGCGGCCCCGCGCCTGCGGCAACTCCTCGGGGGAGCGTGAAGTTGAGTCATTGGGCTCCAGAGAAGAGACGGGTGGCATCTTCGCGGGGTCCCGGGGGGACCAACACACTCACGGGGCTGCCATCCCGTCCAATCACGAGACGGGTCCCGTTTCCGCCAGCGCTGGTCTGTTT